CTCTAAAATTTGTCACGGTTCTAAGTCTGAACCAAAGAGTCCAAATCCGACAAATCGTTTTGAGAAAACAGATTTTTGAAAGAAGTGCCAAACATGGACTGCTTTGCCAGATACAGAGTCGCCACCTAAATGTTTTATTTTGGGAAATTTAGGAAACCCTGACTCGTTTGCCTAAGGCCACGTGTCCGTCATCACCAAAGTTGCCTCGGCTCGGGAACTTGGGTACGATTGGGGAAGGTCACTTCGTGAGCACCCCCGCTCGCCCGATCAAAGATCGGCCTCTACTAACCATGATATCTAGTTTTGAAAACATTATGCGTTCTTATTCCGGTTATTAGCCTAGATTTACTATGTGATGCGCACAGCATACAAGTATAGATTGGGTCGCCTGAATTGGAACAAAACATTTCATGTTTGTTTGTTTGAAAATGGTTTGATGGTGCTACTCGCAAGTAGGCTAAGACGTGGATTTGCCACCCTCAGGTGGGCTTAGAAAAATATGATTTTGCCACTATCTAGTGGGCTTAAAACACACATTTGATGAATTGTTCCAATTCAAATAACCCAACTTTCACCCACAGGCATTCAGGCAGTTATATCACATAAGCATATAGCCTCATGGTAAGCATGCTATTCATGGCAGTCACTCACACACATGCAAGGATGGTAAAGCATAAAACTTACCGAGTACTCCAAGCCAAAACAAAAGCTAATTAGAAATCCATGCATGATCCTAATTATGCAGAAATGCCTAATGCAGCACATGCAAAATGCAACTATAGCAGGCTCGGCTATTCTAAACATGGCATATGAGATGCAACAGCTAACAAGTATTCGACTTTGGAATTGAAATACAAATGCAGTTAGTATGATGCGCCGAGCCCGGTGCATGCAAAACAGATGAATGATGCAAAAATGCTGTCATACTGTATGCTAATTGAAACATGCCCTAATCTAACCATCATAAGCGGATAAATAAAAGGGAGAAAGACATGGGGTTGGAAGACATACATCACACACACGCACACTTATTACAATTGTGCCCCCACGCAGAGGGTTCGAATAATAGTACAGTCCGAATAATACAGTCCAAATAATACAGTCCGAATATATACAAATTCCTAATTAATTTACAAATTAACTAAGAAAGCCATATACTGGCATGCAAGCCAGGGACCGCCTTGACTCTGATGAGCGATGCATGTCTGGGCTGCCTTGCGCGGAAATCCACTGGGATGCCCTGATTAGCCTTTGTTTGCAATTATTCTTGGAAAGCGCGCCAAACTCTGGAAGGTTGCTAATTCTTGATTTGCTGCAACAGAGAGCAGAAAATGGGCATAGCAATGTATTTTCACAAATGTATGCATGCCTCGATCCTCGTGCCACCAATCACGCATCTCGATGCATGATGGCCGAGGGATCGAATTGTGCAATTCAATATAGAATGAATGCACATGAAAACAAAACTAAAACCTAACTCCATCATGGATAATCCGGAGTGTCGGTGACAGGAAATTGAGACACGTTCCGTCACTCGGAGTACGAAACGTACCTCGTTTCCCGTGCTTGGGCTAACTCCTATCCCAAGCACAATGCAATATGCATGACATGCATGAATGCAACTAATATACAACCTAGCATGCACAATGCTATGAAATGGCATAAACGATGCACGAGATAACATGACATACACAATGCGCTAACATGCAACCTAGCATACACAATGCTATGAAATGAAATGGCATACACAATGCACAATGGACTTACACCAACGCAAGTGGACCTCAGCCACACTCACATAGGAGGCCATTAGATGAAAATGAGACAACTCGAGATGCGCGCACGCATGCACGCAAACCGAGGACCGATCCTAAGGCACAAAATGCCACTCTAACGAAACATGGCAAGGCATGAAATGTGATATGAAAACATGGAAATTTCAGCAGCAAAACATGACCCAAAACAGCCCCGAATCATAGGAATATGGCACCCGATGCATGAAAATGAAACCGAAATGCAAAACTAGGCCTATGCATTGGCCTAGAGCTATACAAAACATGCATCATTTGGATATGGAATGTAAAGACAGATTCAAGGCAGCTCCAAAAAAAGCATGTTTTCAGTTCTAGGCGAGGCCAAACAGCAAACACAAATAGGAAAAAACTAGCATGCAAAAATGGCCCTAAATGTGAGATAAAGAAGCAACTCACAACTGCTGACTCCAAACAGATTAGGGCCCTTCAATAATGTTGAAGAGGGGCCCAAAATATGACCTTTTACAGTTTATGAAAAACCACAAAAACCAGCACATGTATGGCTAAGCTCTCATGCAAGAAATGAGCCAAAAGATGGACAAAGAAGCAAGTGGAGGTTTCTGGCTTCAAACACAAAGGGGCCCTTCAACAATGTTGAAGAGAGGCCAAAAATGATGCACTTTACAGTTGATGGTCGGACCCAAAACAGTATGCAAACATGCTCAAAATGCTATACAAAATAAGGCCAAAAAGAGAGATATAACACAAAGTATACAAAGGATGCCTCAAACCATGAAAGACCCTTAATTAAACATGAATATGGGGTCAAAATAAGGCCATTTGTAGTTCGGACAACAGCCCAAAAACAGAAGCAAAATAGGCTAACAAACCATGCAAAAATGGAGCCAAAATGGAGATATAAAGGCAAGTGGAAGATAGAAGCCTCAAACAGCAATGAGCCCTTCAACAATATTTAAGAAGGGCTCAAAATAAGCAACTCTTCAGTTTATAACATGCCTCAAAACAGATTATACATAAGCCAAAAATACTACACAAGATAATGGCATACAAGAGGGATAATGAAGCAAGTGCAACAAGGAGGCCTCAAACAGTGAAAGGCCCTTAAACAAAAGTGAAAAGGAGCTCAAAAAAATGCCACTTTCAGTTAGGGCCGGAGCTCAAAACAGTAAGCATGTATGGCTAAGAAATGATACAAGAATAAGCTCAAAAGAGTGGGAATGGTACTCACCCTTGAAGACCAAACTTTGGTAGCTTCTTGGACCAAAATGCAGCACTCCTAAGCTCTGGAGAACACCCTCAAACTTCTGTAATGGAGGATGGAAGGGTAGGGCTATGGGTTGGTGAAGAAATGGTGTAGGGCTAAGGGTGTTTTAGCTTGGAAAATATAGAGGGAGAGAGATATAATGCAAGGGCCTTAAAGGGAAATTTTGTAACCCTGAACCAGCAGCTGGAGCTGCTGATATATAGGCCAAAGAGGGGGAAAAAGGGGGGGGAAATGGAGGGAAAATGAGTCAAGATTCCCTCCAAAAGTGCCAAACCCTCGGACATGGGTGAGGTGTAAAACAAAATACATGGCTAGAATGTACTTGGGGCAAGGATTATGGCCGGCCTGCTCAAAAAGGGCAAAAAGGTCATTTCACCAGCTAGGTGGCCGGCCTGCTAGATTTTCTGGCCGGCCAGCTACTTTCAGGACAAAAAAATGGACTACCGAAAATAAAAGTGGCCGGTGGGTGGTAGGAAGGTCCAATGGTGGCCGTTCAAGTGTCCAAATTTAAGCCCCGGAAGTTAGCTTTCCAATGGCACAAACCTTGCATTAAAATTCCTCCTGTGGAAAAAGTTATGCCCTTTTTGGTGAAGCCGCGCAGATTTCGGTCCAACCGGAATGATGCCCTACTTCAATCATCTATATCTTCCCCGTCCGGAATTGGATTTCGGAGATTCTTGAGTGCAAAATGAAGCCCCAGAAGTATTATTTCCAACGGTGGTGGCCTCATAGCTTGATTCCAATTATGCCAATGAATAGGCCCGATTTGGCGAGGGCTGCTCGACTCTTTCTTAACGGTTCATGCCCATTTTCTCCCCCAACTGAATTTCTTCCCTCTTCTCCTCTTTTCTTCAACTTCAAACCCCTAAGTAAGGTATTTTGAAAGATTTTTTCAAAGATTTCATCTCTCCTTCATTCATTTCCACTTTGTCCTTGCTCGGTTTACCGAAAAGCGCAACTTTTAACAAAATGCGATCGTTAGAACATCGTAGGAACTTTATTTCAAAAACGTTTTTGAGAGAGAGGGTTTTAAGACTAAAATCTTTTGATCAAGATTGTTTTGGTCCAGAACAGGGGTATGAAGTTTGAGATTTGACTCTCTCTTTGCCGAAGAAATTGCACCTTTCCCCTGCACACCTTTCTCCACCAAGTAAACCATCAGTCACGTCCAAGTCTTAAAGGCGGTCAAAAATGGGGTGTCTACAGTAATCCAGTTAGCCCTCGACTTTTGAAACCAAAGCAGTTCCTCCTGATAGAGGATGGTATTATACTCCTTAACAAGCTCTTTTTCAAGTAAAAATAAATTATGAGCATAAACACGAGATTGGGACTTTTGGATGCCTTCAATACGACCCAAAAGCCATCGTTTCCTCCGAAAAATGTTACCAAAAGAGTTTTTATTCCAGGCAATAGCATTCTTAGTAACAAGATTTATAGCCTCAGGAACAAATTTTTACTATCAGCCCAAGCTTTCTCAACAAGGTTTTTAAAATTAGAATCAGTGAACCATGCAGCCTCCATTCTAAAAGGCCTAGCTAGGGGGTTAGGAATAGACATACCTTGAGTGTACACTACCATCGGAGAGTGATCTGAGTACGTGCGAGGCAGATTTTGAACAGCTCCTTCTGAGAAGGCAACTCTCCATTCGGTGTTGCAAACAGCTCGGTCAAGTCTTTCCAGAGTATTTGCCATACCTTGTCTACCATTCGACCAAGTTAAATTAGGCCCTGAGCAACCTAAGTCCATGAGCTTGCACATATTCATCCTAGCTGCAAATTTTTGAGTTCGGGCTTGGCTTGCAATGGGGTTAAAGCTTCTTTTTTCCCCTTGAGAAGCAATATCATTGAAATCACCGGTTAATAACCAAGGGTCATTCATATTCTGAGCAACATCTTCCAGATTTTCCCAAAGTGTGTCTCTAAGCCGTGGATTTGGGCTAGCATAAATAGCCGACAAAATCCAATCTGAGTAGTTATCACGCTTAATCTTAGCGTGTATGACTTGAGCATTAACATCAAGAGCCATTATCGTCGCACGGAATGGATCCCACAAAATCCAGATGCCCCCACTACGTCCCACCGGATCCACATGAGAGGAGGCTGTGAACCCAAGTTTATTGAAGAAGAGACCCATAGAACTAAGCTCAACTTTTGTTTCCATCAGGACAATGATAGAAGGTTTGTGAGTTTTCTCCAGTTCCTTCATAGTGCGTCTGAAGGCTTTGTTACCGGCACCTCTACAATTCCAAACAAGTAGCTTCATGGAGACAGATTTAGGGAATGATGGAAGGGAAACAAAATCAGGGGTCCCCAATATCCTCCTTACTCTGAGCTTGTCGTTGACTGATGAAGCTATGGAACTCACTCTGACCATGGTGTTCTTTTTGCCGTAAGTGTCTATCTCCTCCTACTCGACTATGAGACGAGCCTCTACGATCCACCAATCGGCATCTATTAGGTGAATGGCTTCTTTCTCTTGATCTAATGAAAGATAGATCATGCTTGTTTGGACTCTGTGTTGATTCTCCTCTGGAATCACCATACTCAGAAATAGAGGATATGTTGGGAAGACTAACTTTTGGGAGAGAAGAAAAGTTAGGATCAGGTGGTTCTTTGGGACTAGGTAAAGATGGCTTTAAAGCCTTATCCCAAGGTTCTGCAGAAATGCTAACACCAGCTGGAAAAGCCTTAACTAGAGGGGAAGCTCTGGCTACGGCAGAGCTGTCCATCAAAGTGTTGTCAGCAGTCAAAGTCGTGAAAGGGTTATCTGTAACAACACTTTCTTCTAAGACAGGAATATCGGCAGAGGGGAGATCTTGATGTAGCAAGCTTGGGCCAATGGAACTCTCCCCTAAATGTGTAGCACGAATAAAATGAGTGGGCTTAGACATATCTTTCATGTGGGCTTTGCCCTTGGACCCAAACTTGGACTCTCTCCCTCCCATCAAATTTTTCCGAGGGCCTCTTCTGTTAACAAGCATCCAAGGTCCATAACTCTCCATATTGGCCTCCTTAGTGTTCTCATCAGTGCTAGCCAACCCATCTAGGGGCTTACTGGAACTGACAACCACAACATCTTCAACGGTCAAATTCTGCTCATGTTGATTGGTCGGAAAGACACCACCGGTGGTCTTCTTCGAAGCCTCACTACAGCTCTCCTTTCTGTGGCCAACTCTACCACAAAAAAAACAGAAGGAATGAAGATGTTCATATTCTATACCATAAGTATACCTACCAATAGCAAAATGGGAAATTAAAGGTCTATTCAAATCCATTTCAACACAAACACGAGCAAATCTTCCTCTAGAAGAAGTGGCTGTATTAATATCAATTTTCAGGGGATTCCCAATAATTTTGGCTATATGAAATAAAACTTTCTCATTATAATATTCAATAGGAAGTTGTGGAAATCTTACCCACATAGCAGTTGAAACTTCCTTGGCTTGAGAGGGCTTGAAATCATGCTTCCATTTTCGAACCGTTAGATAATGATCCAAAACAATCCAAGGTCCTCCCATGTACACTTTAGCACAATCTTCCCTCATTTGAAATTTAAAAAGAAAGTATCCAAGCCCTAGATTAATAGCTTCAAAATCTCCTTGGAGATCCCAAATCTTTCTAGCTTTGGTAATAAGAAGTTTATAACCCACAGTCTTTCCCAGTAATTTGATAATCAAACAGTCCTTCCAAGGCCTCCTAATTTTATTCAGGAGACTCTTAGGGAGTTTAATTTTGGGAACACCAAAATCCATTCCCTCATCCATATATTCGTCATCGTCCGAAGCTTCCTCACCAAGCTCTTCATCATCTGTTGACAGATGATCCAGATCATCGTCAAAGGCCCTTTCATAAGGACGAAGATTAGTGAGTGCTTCCTTGAAGGATCTTGGCCCACGATTATGCCCAGAATGGTTCTCCACAGAGGAGACACCCTCGTTTACCAATTGGTCCGATCGCCCCTGGTCACCAACAGGTTCGACAACCATAGAATCGCTAGCAATCGCTTCAATATCCTTGAGTTTCTTGGTGTTTCTTGAGAGATGATATTGTTCTTCAGTGGATTTCTTGCTCAGGTTACTATTCACGATGTTGGGAGCGTTTTCTCCCATCTCACTTAGTTTCTTTCTCTTCTCACAATTCAATGAACATATATGTTTTTTATTTTCTGTAAAATTATAAGAAAATATTTTCTAATTCCTATAAATAACAAATAAAAATTTGACAATTAACTTTATCAAATGCTACCTAAATTTCAAAATTCATATATACTATGTGCACAGCTGTGTCGTCCTTTTTTTTTATAATTAAAATTTGATTTGTTGATTTTAAGGTATTTTTTTGTTGGGTTCTCCTATAGTGTGCACCTCTTTAGGGGGGCGTACCATATGCACCCCTACTACAAAATGTGTAATTTTATTATAAAATTTCGTAATATCAATTATAAAATACATAACCTCGCCACGAATTGGCATAACAAAAAATATCATAATCAAGTCACAAATTTTGCAACATAACTACAAAATTATGGACATTTTATGACTTCAATTTATGGTGAGATTATGTATTTTGTGATTGATATTACGAAATTTTGTAATAAAGTTACACATTTTAAGGTAGGGCCCCATAAGGTATGCACACCATGGCATTTTTCTTTTTTGTTTGATGGAAGAAAAATGTAATAGAATGATCATTTGGTAGAGTTTAAAGAAGAATTTTATTTTAATTCAATGGTATAGGTTAAAGAAGATTGATTATTTGGTGTGCATTATAACATTATCTATATATATATATATACACATTTATTTATAATAAAAATGCAAAGATATGGAAATAGTAATAACAATTTAAACTAATATTTGTTATGGTTTCGAAATTTATTTTCTGTTTTTGCTACATGATTTTTAATTTACCATTTTTCGTTGTTTCTTTTTATTTTTGTTTCATATTTTTCACTCTATTTGGTTTTATGTTTTTTAAAATATATATTTTTTTAAAACACATATATTTTAATTCATTTTTTTAATTTTTTAGATCCACTCAATTTTGATATATTTTTAAATCATTGAATTTGTACCAATTTTTTTAAACAATTCATTAAATATACCATCACAGTCACCACTGCATTACCATCAGCTCTCCACTTTTTTTAAAAAACTCATTAAATATGCCATCTCCATTTTTTTTTACCTCCACTATATTATCTTTCTATCATTACCACAACCGCCATATCTTTTACCTTCATTACTATTGTCATTGTTGCCGCTGTCACTATAATATAAAAATTAGAAATAATAATCTTTAAATTTAATCTTATATTCAACACTTAATTTTTTAACAACATCATTTAATTTTTAGTATTTAATTGTCAACAACCAACTTTCAGTTTTCAATTTTGGTGCCGTTTGGGAAGGAAAGGTTGGGCTATTTTAGCCACTGCGGGACAAAAAAGGCTTAATTAGCCAAATGAAGACAAAAACTTGTCAGGTGCTTTGTAACTCACAATGCCAAGGTAAATTTACGAAACTACCCCCACATGAAAGAGGGGCATTGCCTCAGCACACACAAAAGAAATGACAAAATTTAAATTAAAAAAAAAAGAACCAAAAAAATACGCCTCACCAAAAAAAATAAGAAATAAGAAAATAAAAACATAATTTAGCATTTGCCACGTAATTTAAAAATAAATTAAACAATGAAAAACTATTTTTCAAAAATAAAAATAAATTAATGTATACAAATACAAATAAAAATAAAAATGACAAAAACGTAAATTAAAAAAAAAAATAACCACAAAAATACTCCTCATCCAAAAAATAAAAAAAATAAAAACAGAAATTAGCATTTTCTATGTAATTTAAAAATAAATAAAACACATGAAAAATTGAAAGAGGGGCATTGCCTCAGCACACAAAAAGTAAAAAGAAAAAAATCTTTTCCCAAAAAAAACCTTCTCCCAAAAAAAACAAAGAAAGTTGAAAAAAAAAATTAAAAACAGAAATTAGCATTTGCGATGCAATTTAAAAATAAATAAAACACATGAAAAACCATTTTTCAAAAATAAAAATAAATTAATGTATACAAATACAAATAAAAATAAAAATGACAAAAACGTAAATTAAAAAAAAAGAACCACAAAAATACTCCTCATCCAAAAAAAAATAAAATAAAAACAGAAATTAGCATTTTCTACGTAATTTAAAAATAAATAAAACACATGAAAAATTATTTTTGAAAAATAAAAACAAACTAATGTATAGAAATAAAAATAAATTAAGTCAAAAACGTAAATTAAAAAAAAAGAACCAGAAAAATAGGCCTCATCCAAAAAACAAAAAAAATAGAAATTAACATTTTTCACGTAATTTAAAAATAAATAAAACACATGAAAAATCATTTTTGAAAAATAAAAACAAATTAATGTATACAAAAAGAAAAAGAAGACAAAAACATAAATTAAAAAAAAAAATAATTCCAATTTAATACGCCTCATCCAAAAAAAAAAAAAAAGAGAACAATGAGCTGACATGGAGGAAGGAGCTGGCTGGGAGTGAAAAAAAATTAAAATTAAAAAAATTAAAATTAAAAAAATTAAAATACACAGGACAATAAAATAAAAATAAAAATAAAAATTATTATTGTTGTTATTATGTTAAAATTATTATTATTGTTATTATCAAGTTCAACTACACCCCCTATCCGGACTTACCACGTATTTACCCCACACCACATTTCCATAGTTCTTATTTCAATATAAATCCTTCTCAAAGTAAACGTCTTTCCAACTCATTTCAAGATATGCAATAATGATGATAAGACAATTGAGAATATGATGCATTACTTAATATTTCATAACGTTTCTCCATTTCAAACGTCTCTATGACAAGATCAAATAATTTCGTTTCTCATTCTACTTTTCAATGTAATTTCACAATTGACTATATGCCATCAATGTATAACACTCACAATCTCTCACAATGCACAATTCATAACAAGTTAGCCCCTTCAAGACTACATGTGATGCCTTTCAAACATTAACTCCCATGTTTACAATTTTCACTATCTAAGGTGCACAACCATTTGTTATTTCACAACAATACACTTTCAAATGTTATAATTTAAAATTAAAATTATTATTATTATTATTATTATTTAAAAAAAATTAAAATTAAAATAAAAAATACATGAAAAAACCATTTGCCAAAAAATAATAATAATAATAAATTAAAATACACAGGATAATAAAATAAAACCTCACTTTTTATCATTTTACAGAAAATGAAAAAAAATTAAAATTAAAATCAAAATCAAAATAAAAAAACACATGAAAAAACCATTTAAAAAATATATATAAAAAAATATAAAAAAAACAATTTCGGTCCAAAGGCTAATCTCATGTAGAGGACCAACGTTAACAATGAGTTGACATGATGAAGTAGTTGAGTGACAGTTTTGCAATTTAACTTGAAGACACCTCACCAAAAAGTTAAAAAGTCAAAAAATCCTTTCCAAATCAAATATATATAAAAAATATAAAAAAAACAATTTCGGTCCAAAGGCTAATCTCATGTAGAGGACCAACGTTAACAATGAGTTGCCATGATGAAGTAGTTGAGTGACAGTTTTGCAATTTAACTTGAAGACACCTCACCAAAAAGTCAAAAAATCAAAAAAAAATTTTCAAACTAGACTTTTTAGCCCCAGAGTAAAATAATCAAAAAAGTCAAAAAGCCAACACACTTCCCAAACGGAGGCTTTATATGGTGGTTGGGCTTATTTGTGTTTTTTTATTTTGTCCAAAAATTCCACCATGCTAAAGTTTAAAAAAGAAAATTTACTTGACATATAGAAAAACAAATTTAAATAAGAAATGTCACATTGAGCAATTAATTGGTCATTTGACTTAGTTTGGTAAACACACAAAAAATAAATAATAAAAATAATAAATAAATAATAAATTAAATTAAATTAAATGCACTACAATATTTTCTTAGTTTAGTGACATTTGAAAGTGTCACAAAACTATTCTTATAATGACATTTTTTAGTCTTGTGGTATTTTAAACAAGTGTCATTTATATCCGTGCCACGGTAGATACTAGTGGCACCTCAGTGACACTTGCAAGTGTCACTACACCATCATGGCTAAAGACTTTCAATGACACTTTGATGTCATGATAGACACTATTTATGACACTATCAACGCGCCATTAAAAAAAGACTTAGTGGCACTTCAGTAACACTTGTAAGTGTCATTACACCATCAAGGCTAAAGACTTTTACTGACACTTTAATATCATGGTAGACACTATTCGTGACGCCATCAAGTGTCATTAAAGAAGACTTACAATCTAAAAAATGTCATTATATGGATTTTCAATGGTACTTGTTATGCCACAATTGATTTTTGTAACAACTTTATAAATGCCACTAAATCTGTCACGACCCGCTCCCCGTATCCAAAGATTAAGCATCGTGATGGCCAGTAAGTGAGGTTACCTCTGGCTAATTCTTAAACAAATTAATAAGCGCAAACGGAAATAATATTTAAGTGATGGTACCACAATAATCATTGGAGCTTTTATTTTTATTACAAAATTTATTGACCCAAAAGGCC